TTAGAACTTGAAAGCCACTATCAGTTGCAGGCCTGAACTTGACAGCAAGTTCCTTCGAGAAGGCTAGAGTTACCCATTCTCCAGGTTCTCACAGTTTGTCTTAGTACAGCCTTAAGTTCACTTGTCAGACTTACTTTTGTGAGCTAAGAGTTCAAAAGACAGGTCTTCTCAGTCTGGTAATTCCTAAGGATGAATCACTTACTGACATCTGTAAAGCCTTCAGTCCTACTGAAGGCACTCAAGACCTCTAGAACGGCATCAGTGGCGTACAGTACCAGACACCAACCCAAGAGTACCACATGCTATTAAGGCGTGCTGCCATGAAAGCAAGTTGAAGGAGCTATCTTTGGCAAATACTAACCTGCCACTTCAACAGCCTTGTAAAGCTTAGGAGGCACGAGCAATACTGCAACTCACTTCAGCAAGAGAACACAGCTTTGCAGAAACATGAGGTGTTTGTTTCTTAAACAGTCATTATAACTAACATAGAATAAAACATTTTAATGGGCTACAGTTAATCATCTATAAAAAGTGTACGTTCAGCATGAATTTAAATTGTAAACTGGTCATAAATAATACATTGTCTCTGAGCACATTTTGAAATATACATTATGAAATAAAAATTATTTTTCAGAAAAGCTTTCAACCTTTTTGTTCAAAAGCACATTTAACCAATCCTTTATAAACAACTGCAGCCAGCTTGCCTGCCTGAAAATTTTGATTTATGAAGCCCTCCTGCCTAGTGCAGAACACTTATTTGTATTAATTTTCCTTCCTTTTTTTTTTTTTTCTAGGGCAGATTAAGCAAGAGCTGAATTCAGAAAAACTGTTAATGTAGCAACTACCTTAAATTATATTTTTTTGTAATGACTGTAATTTGTTTTCATTCTAGTTTATTTAGTAATGATACAAGTATCCAAATATCCACTAAAGTAAGCTACTGTGAAGAGTGCAAGTACCACAGTCAGAGCAGTAGCTAGACCTAGATTTGAAATGCATATATTTATTTCTGGATAAGAAAAGGTAGGTTCCCTCTGGCCACAGAGAAGGTCTCCGTGTACCTCCCTGTTAATTAGTCATTGCAATCTGTCCATTAACATGAATCTGGCTAAATGTTACGTTCAGTGGGAATTAGAAGCAGCACACTGCACCATTTCTCCAAGGCTGTTAATTTTGAACTATACTATCAAAAGCAGCTATCTTGGCGTACCAATTTTTCAAGAAATATAGGCTTATAGATAGTAATAAGTTAGCTGAGTGGAGCAGAAAAGCCCTTTCTGTAACCCACCCTTTGTGCACAGAGATCCTCCCCACTGATCTCATGAGCTCCCCGTGCAGACGGTGTCAGGGCATGTTGAGCCTCCTCTCTCCTCACATCCTGCGTAGTGAGAGGCGAGAGGAATGACGTCTCTCAACTACTGTTCACAATGGCCTCAGTGACCCTTTTGGCAGCTAGTGTGGGAGATGCAATTCCTCAGCGTCATGTTCCTTTGTACTGCCCATGCCCTGAGGCCAGGATGTGGCCTCTAGACATTGTGGGCAGAGCTGGGCAACAAGGTGATTCACCCACCCTGTCCTGGAACAGCCCTTCCCACTGGGAACAGTGTGACAGTGTTGGGGGGAACCTCAAGAAATCCAGCTGCTCTCAGCTGGAGTTTATAGAAAGGATGGTGTGTTTATGTTACTGCCAACAGTAGGAAATGTCACCTGATGAACAGAAATCTCCTTCCAAATGCCTATTCCTATGTATTGCCATTAAAAAAGCTTCATAAGGCATAGTCCATATTCATCCATTCCAGAAGGTATACATAGCACAAGTAAGAAAACACCTTTATATGAACAATTTGTTAAAGACTACATCAAAACATTGAAGACGCTGATGTTCGAATACATTCCTAATCTTTCATAAACAGGAGAATTTCAATGCTGTAGGAAAACTAGGAATATTGCAGAGAGGAAGACAAAAAAGACAGGTGTCAAAAAGAAGTTGGAAAGAGAGCACCATATGAAAATCATACTTAACTTTTTATGTCTGTTTAACAAGCTAATGTTTCACGACATTATACTGAAGTTTAAGTAAGCTACCTAGGATAAAATCCCGGCCCATCTGAAGTCAATGGTAAGAGGATTTTACCTGCAATTCTCACTATCTTTGAGAAGATATTAAAACAAAGGGTATACATTGAGGCTTCAGGGAAAGGCTTCAATAAAAAAGAAGAGGAAGAAAAGAACACATTGCTTGTTTTTGTTAAAGTATATGCCACGTAAACTAATCTACATGGCAATCTCTCTGGTCTGTCAAACATTGAATGCAATACTGTAAGTAATTTCTAGATTTTTATTCATTTAGCATTTAGCAAGACTCTTCTGTAGCTGTAAATCACTTCTAAAATTCTATCATTACCTTGTACACTGCTGCTTTATGAATGTGCAAACCCACTATTTTAGCAAACAGTGCTGTATTTTTTTCATGTCACATGTACAAAAGGGTGTAAAAGGAGCTCCCTGATTGACACATGATAATATCCTTAAGCCACAATGAAAACAAATATAATACTGTATTATAGCACAGGTATTCCTTTTATTACAGGAATAGTATCTGTGGGACACACTCATCCGATCAAGGATTTCAAAATCACATCCTTAAAGTATGCAATGCATTTTCAATGAATCGATAGCTATGGTCTTCAGTGAGCTGCCCTGACAGTAAAAAAAAAGACACAGAACTTAACCTAATCTTAGTTATTCATATTTTGTCACACACTTCTGCTTGCTAACCAAGAAATATTTCTAAAAACTGCCACGATGTGCCTCACGGATCAAAAAGCAAGTGAAGTTTCTCTAACAATACTCTAAGAACTTTGGATAAATACAACTGCTAGGCTGAACATGTGTAACATAACTATTTTGTGATTCAGTGTTGTAAATGTAGTTTAGATTTTAAACTTTTAATATTTTTAGCTGCATATAAACCAGAGAAGTAATAAGTTAAATTATAGCACCTTGCGTGAAATTTATTCTAAAAAATACAAAGATAACGCCTTTTAAAGTTGTAAGAAATGCAACTACTCTACCTCAAGTTCATAATGCAACTGTCATTTAAAAGGAAACTAATTTACATGTAATGAAGACATGCATAAATATCACAAATTTAAGGCACAAAATGGAATTTGAAAGTTACGGATGTAGTAAATCCTTGTTTTTTCAACAAATTACCTGATACACCAGAAAAAGGCGTATCTACAATTTTCAAAAAAGCTGTATTATCATAGAATCATTGAAGCTAAAAATGGAAACTGCCTATTCAAGTATGTAGTTCAAACTCTTGCCAAAGGAAGATTATTTTCCACTATTGCATTCCATTTAACTTAAAACCTTCCAGAAACTTGTACGCACTGATAAGCACTACTGTGACATTCCATAACCTAACTGATGTCCTTGGTAGGATCTTTCTCCTGATAATCACTGGATATTCACCTTGTTCCAAATTTATATAATCACATCTTCATACTTTGAAAGCCTCTTCCTTTACATGTATTTGTCACATAATAGAAAATTATACATACTTAACGACTCAATCTTTCCGACTTCTTTCGCACTTCAACTGATTGTATTACTGTTCTCTGACTTTTCAGAAGATTGACTCAATTCCTCACCCCTGAGGTACTCAAAATATAAGACTGTATTCCAGAAATTACTTCAGCAATCACAACCATTCTGATTTCCAGCTGCCTGATGCAGCTCTTCTGCATATATACTCTTCTTTTGACATTAGTAATGCCAGAACTTTGTTGCCTACATTATCAAGGCTTCTTACTACATTATTATATTTCAATCTTCTCTCTCTCTCACACTAAATATCCAAGTTTCCTCAGATGCACTACCTCTTCTCTGAATCTCTCAGGCTGCATCTAATTCTTGTCTACATTTAATCCATCTGTTGGACCTCTCCCACTCAGGTATCATATAGTGTAATATCATCTATACTTCTATTAATATAGTGTAGATCCCTCTTGCAGATTATTGAAGACATTAAATAGAATTAGGTCAACACAGTATAAACAATTAATGGGGAGGGACCAATTAAAATTGCACAATGGGATGATTCAAAGCACAATTTATATTTTAAGGCGCTATTTCAGATATATTTTATCCCACTTAGCTATTTATAAGAAGTTAAATATCTCACCATAGCTACAGTTTCTAAATGCAATACCGTAATTTTTCTGCCTACATAATTAAACGTAGAATAGGAAACATGCTGACAATCAGTATTCCTCTGCAAACAAGTCCCATTCCAGCCACTGATCAGAGAAAGGTAAGCACATCAAGTCTACTCCTCAGCACAAACTTTTAACCAGTTACTATTATATCTATTATTCTACATACCTTTAAAATTACAAATGAAAATACAGAGAGATCAAAATTTGCACTCACATTTAAGAATTCAGCTCCTTTCAAAAGTCCTTCTGGAATTCTACAGTGTGATCCTGTATTGCAAAGAATGTTGAACAACATGCTAACAGTACTTATAACTGGAAAGGTATTACTTAATATAAAGCTTAAATAACATTTAAGCCACCTAGTCTATGAAAAACATCATTACCTAATTTATGCTCTGTCTTCCAGAAGACTCGCTTTCAGTACAACTTATCAACTCTCTTTCTGTTCGTGATGATGACTACAGGCCATAACAGAACTTTACGAATAGAAAGCACAGAATCAACTATTCCAATTCTTAAAGCTATTTGTCAGCCTGTTGAGAATAAGAAAATAATTTGCTGAAGAAATGAACAATTAAAAATCAAAGTGAAACAAAGGATGAAAAGGTAAGTCTGAAGATATATTAACTGTAAAAATAATACAGTCCATGCTATTTTATGCACAGTTGTTTATTCTTGTTCCATGTTTTAAAACTTGGACTCAGAAAAATCACAGGAAGTTTTGGTTTTTTACCCTCTTTTTTTTCCATTAAAAGCACCATAGTTACACGGCTTGATTCAATCGTCCTTTTCCACAATCACTTCTCCATGAAGCACCCTTCTTCTCTGCCGCAGCATGTGGAAGTAGAGTTGTGGAAATACTTGATCGAAGCACAAAAGAAAGCAAATTAGATTAAAAAATTCAACAGATCACATAATGGAAAAATACAATTTTGCAGAATGATGAACTGAGGAAAAATAATGGCACACAGTGCTGCAGTTGGTTAAGGTAAATAATAGCAAGTCATCAAAATTGCAGTGAGTTACAAAACAATAATTACTCAAAAATCAGACAAGGCCCCCTAAACGTATACCCTGTGTTCAAAGAACTTCCTTCCAACACTTCCTTTCTATAAACAGTACTTAATCACTTTCTGGCAGTGCCTGACGTCTTCAAATGTGTACTAAGGTAAGCATGTTTGAATTAAGACTTTGAGGAGGATACAAGTTTACCCTACTTGTTCAAGTCTGAAGTGAGAAGCTCCCTCTCTCCTGGCCCTCTGAGATCTATTATATTACTACCCTTCCGATACATTTGATCCTTATATTTAATGGATAGAAAATCGGATTTATTCCTGAAGCATTAAGTTATATAAACAATTGTAGAACCGTCAGGAAGTTATGATAGCTTTGGACATTTTTTACTCATATAAATCTCTCCTGTTGGCCTTCATGGTTTCTTGTGACAAAAAATTTCAGTGTGTTGGCATACCATGAACGTCCATGTTTAAAGTCAACTTCTTAAAGGAATACCTTTTATGGATGCAGATAGCAAGCTCTTTTAAATTCAATTCTCCTGTTTCTCAATGCCTCTCCCTAATCTCTTGCCCTGTTTCCAGCCTCATCGTCCAGATTACCTAAAATATTCTATTTGCCTAGTTTAGTCTAGCCCCATCATGGTGCTATATTTGAGTCGGGTTACTTTCTCCTTGTCTACACTGCTTAGGTGTCAGTGGAAATAACACTGGGAGTGCAAGACAGGTAGTCTCTCTAACCTTAGCTCTGGTTAGCCAATTGATCTGTGGCTTCTGGTATCCAGAAGTACAAGGACAATCTGATTAAACCAGGGCCTGAAGTATGTTCAGAGAGGTTTGGGGGGTGGATTTCTGTGAAAATGAAATCTTGGAGAATACTGCTGCAAGTTTTTCCCAAGCATGCTCAAATGGTGATTTTCAGAGGTGACATGTAAATGGATATTAACAGCAATAAAACCAAGGCAAACCTCTGGCACAACTTGCAAAACAATTTTTAAGCCATTGCTTCAAAGTACCAGAGGCACTAGAAATTCTCAGTGACACAGTTACAGACATTTCTGTGTGTAAGCAAAAAGGTTTTTTTACTTTGTCCAAGTCTTAGAAATGTTTTTAGCATTTTCACTGAAATTTTTAAGACAGCTTATGTTCAGAGGCAGATAACAGGATGGAAAATTTCAGCCTAACCAATTAAAGCACAGCAAAGCTTGGGACAATGGAAAGCAGGTTTTTATAGTAAAAAGTGTTCAGCAACTTTAACTACAGGCAGCGTTACCAGCATTGCTGATAATTGATTATTGTGCTGTTAGCGTTACTACAGTTCAATAATACTTACATGGCACATAGGAGAACATTACAATAATAAGGAAGTAATAGTAGTCAAAGGAGACATTGTACTTGTTGGGAAGTCTCAGTGAAAACATTCCTGTTTTCTTCACATAGGGTAAAGCAGCATATATGGTTAGCAGTTCACCTGCAACTCCAGCAGGATACAAAATGATAAAAAAGTTGTATCTGCATTAAAAAAAACAAACACCACATTGTGAGAAACACTCCATGAATTTAAAATTGCCTCTTGCTATTATTAGTGGCACAGCAATGTATTACAGTAGTTTCTGCACCAAAATCAAGGACCATCTCCGGACTTGGCACAGAACACCAGTTTCAGTTGCTTTGGATAGCGTTGCTTAGGTTTACAGAGAATGCATTCCTCAGTCCTTTTATTGAAAAATAGTGAATTATCAGAATGTTTGTATGTCTTTCTAATACTAAAGAGTAGAAACATTCACAAATTGGTAGTCTCCAGTAATGTCTCTTTTTTTTTTTAATTTATTGATCTTGCTTCTGTCATCACCAACAGAATTCAGACCAGGACTGGATCCTAAATTATGATGATCCTATGTATCTTTGTCACAATGCACGCACACTGGGTCAACTCTACATGTTATAATTTCTTTGAAGATAACGAAAATGTTTTACCCACTGCCACATGGGAAATCCAAATACTACTACATTTACCACTAATGGAAATGAAAATAAAAAAGAAAAGAAAATGGAAGTGCCAGAAACTTATTAGATCCATTTTAAAACAGGAAGAAGATGTTAAAATGAAAGTCAAAGGCATTCAGCTTAAAGAAAATGTGGTTTGAACGCCACAGGCCACAGAGGTGGTGACAAAATGAAAAACGTAATCAGTAGGGTTTGTGCTGTCCTTATGCATAGTGCACCGTGGAGATGCAGTTTCCCCTAAGGAACAGCTCTCGAGTTCCTGCAGGGAACAGCAATGAGAGCTGTCGCACAGAGAGAAAGGTACAGTGTGCACTCCATAACCAAAAGAAATGAGATCCAAAACAGCAGCAACCAAACTGAAATGCTCCTAGGAGCAAATGGGCTTAGAGGACTCACAGGTCAGAGAACAGATTAGGGAAAGTATAAGAAGGAACTGATGCCATGATCTACACACAGTTTGTCTCCGTGCAGCAAAAAAACCCCAAACCAAAACAAAATAAAAATTCTGAACTAAAATTTAGAGCATACCTATTCCATTAAGAATGGACAGGCAAATCTTTTACAATTACAAGATAAAGATCAGAAATTTCCAGCTCCCTTGGAGTGCTGAGTTTATTCCCAGTTGTGCTGTTTGATTATCCATAAATCTTGATGGGATATTTTGGACTCTATGAAAAGATAATACATTTTCAAATGTTTTGTTTATCATATATATCACCACATATCTCTGCTGTGAGAATGTCAATTTTCCCTATTGTCGATTACAAGGAAACAAAAATTCTGTCATTCGAGACATACTTTTTGCCATCAAGTCAGTGTATCTGTCAGTGTAGTACTTTCTGAATGCATTTCTCTTTCTGAAGCCTACATGAAAAATGATTAATGAAACTAGATCTGATTATTTTTAAGTTTGCCATTTAGTGCTTAAGCATAACCAAGCCTACCACCTTAGGTATTAGCAAAAAAATGTATTATAAGAATGGACATAAATATCAGACATATCAAAGAAGTGCATTAGAAGCATCAGAACTGCGTTATCTATAAAACAAAAATAAAGGAAAATAAACAAACACTTTTAAACAAACAAATTTAAAATTAAACTCTTTTAAATATGAGTCGCCTGTGCTGAATGTAGGTACGATATTTTCCTTCTAACAGTGCAAGTCTGTCTGTCTTACATATATTTTTCAAATAATGACTACAGAGAATACCACTCTTCCAGTTAAGTCTCCTGATAAACATGCAGTCTCTGTAGTATCTCTGATCTAACGGCCAACCTTAAGTATGCTTCAAAATCAAAGCAGTTTTGGTATGGACCACACTTTTTATGTGGGCTAAACTAAGCCGATATTTAGCTTCACTACATGAATATAACCTTACAAAAGCTCTGATAAAGCAGAACTTCACATAAAGTACTAATATGCATAAGATTGAGTGACAACAATTCCAACATTTTCAAAGATCTGAAATCCACAAAGACTAGCACAGGTGCTTAATTTTGGGCATTGTACTCGAAAGCATCTTAAGGAGTCATACTGTAAGTTAAATGATGACTCCAAAGATTAAAAAAAAAAAAAAAAAATTAAATTAAAGCAGAGTTCAAACTGTGAGACATAGAAAGCAAAGAACAAATCACAGCCCCAAATGTCAACTAAAATATTTTTTAACATTTTAAACCAAATAACAATGATCCCAAGGACTGAAAGCAACTGACTTGCACTCTGCTGACACATAACCAAAGCTCAAACATCTGCTCTCCTGTGTGTTAGCTCAGCATGCGTGAAACTAACATGCACAGAACCATGAGAAACTGAAGTGCAAGACATCTCCACCTGGCCCATTTAATGAAGTATGGCAAATGGTTGAGCAGGTTGAATGTGTAGAAGGAATATCGAGTAATCTCTGTCACAGTCCATACGACCAGAAAAAGAATAACGCTCTCCTCATTCTGGATCTGCAGAAGTATAAAGAACCAAGACTTTCTTCATCCTTAAGCTTCTTTTCTGTGCAACAGACTTCTGTTTAAGATATACGGAACAGAACTAACATCTTGTAAAGAAAGTAAGTTTTGGCATAAAAGTGATATGCTGGAACCATTACCATGTACAGTTCTTTATCATATATATTTACTAACAAACAGACATTTTGTAAACTGACCAATCTTTATCTGTTAGGCAAATATCAAAATATAAAATCCTATAATTGAGCTTATTCCTCCTCTTTATTCTCTATCTGCATTTTCACAACGCTTTCTGTCTCCCTCTTTTTATTTGTGGTTGATTTAGTTATTTATTTTCTTACTCCTCAAAACAGCGAGAAGAAAACAACACAGAAAATACGTTTCTTTCATAATCAGTTTTTACCCATTCTGCATTTCACTGCTCCATCTCCTAAGACTTTCTCTTGCTTTTTATCTTGCTTCTTCCTGACCATGAAATGCATGTCTCCATGAAACTTCAGACAAAAGGAATTGCTTAGTATAATCTACCAACTGGAACTAAGTTGCAGATCAAATTTGGCAGACTTCAGGGAGCTGTAAGATAGTTAAGGAGCTGGAACATGGATGGATCCCTAAATGTAGGTAGCTGGTAGATCAGGAGCTTTGGGTAAATGCACTCAACAATCCAATTTAAGATTCAAATTCTGAGTCATTAAACTGCCTCATCGGTAGGTAGCACACCTATCTGCTGTTTCAAAACATCGGTTCTTTTTCACTCCGAGTGGACAAATAGACAAAAATCCCCAAACATAGAGAAGGCACATGGGGATCTATTACAAACACTACCTTCTGAGAAGAAGAATTACACGCAAGTAATTTTCTTTTCTTTAAAAGGGGAGGAATTTTGTAATACAATTCCATGCCTGAAGGCTGAAAAGCTCCAGGGATGTCTGTGAAATAAAGTAACACAAGTTTTGTTAAAATTACAAAAAAGGGAAATTATTTTTTTCAAATAAAATGCAACATGGTGACAAAGCTTAATACTTCTCAAAGATGCTGAAAGTGCAAAACTCTGTCAAAAGTCAAGAAAAATCACACGTGCTCATCACCTCATAAAATTGTGTCCTCGATGTGTCAAGGAAGGTGCACTTTTAGTGACAGGATCTCACCAACATCACAAAAGGAGGTATGAAAATACCTCCAAACTCACAAATAGCAACAACCAAAGTGAAAAGATAGCCAAACAAATAAGCAAAGGGAAAGACAGAATTAGGCTGTTCTTAGCCTCATGCAATTAGAGGCAAACATCGATAACCCAAACTTGGATTCATGTCACAGTGCTAAATCCAAGCAGAAGAGCTTTAAACAAGTATGCAGAGAATTCCTATCTGTTGCCTTGCAAATCTCCAGTCAAGTAGAGAGATCTGGGTCTGGCTATTATCACTAACATGCCTCTCACCACCTAAAGTGACCCCTAACATTCATGCCTGCTAAGCAATAACAGCGTGAAATACAATCAGACATACATTCAAATGCATTTTATCTTGGACACAGCTTGAGCCACTGTACTGAAGACAGAGGAAACAAAAGAAATTACTGGATATGCCAAAGACTTAATCCACTGCAGATAATAACAACGTGACAAAATGCAGTGCTTTATTCCTGCATTCATGTAAACAGTTAATATAAAAAAGTTGTTAATCTGTGAGACATTTTCCTTTAAGAGAAAAATGAAAGCATTTAGTTTACACACACACAAAAAAAAAGCTATGAAAAGCCTACTGCGTGCTAAGAAAAGCGACGGTAAAGGAAAAGATGACATGTAGAAAACAAGTCCTCTGTGAACTGAAACAACGGGATTTGACAACTGAGGCAGGTGCTATGTCATCCCATCAGCAGTAAAGCAAGTGCCATCTGCTGGTGAGACAGTTTAATGGCTCAGCTTTTTAAGTTTAAAGAAATTCAGGAGCAGAGACTCAAAATCTGTCACTTAGTTCCTATATGCCCTTCACAGAAAGCCGATCTCAGAAACTGAACTGAACGGGCCATCTACTAGCTGTAACAAGTCAGCTTGTTTCATTCCTGCTAACGAGTCACTAGGCTTGCAGTAACCACCTACAGCCAGGCAAATAAACTATTGTCATTTATACAGGACCTTAAGAGTCACTGTGGCATGCTGGATGACTTGATATATTTTTAATGAAAACAATGCAGTGTGCATGCCATCAAATGTTAATATTACCACAACATTAACATCTTGAGAAGGTTCCTAAAATAACTTGCAAAGTCACAACCATGTTTATCCAGGTAAATTCAACTTAACACATTTTTCTTTTAGATTAATTCGGTAAGTGCTAATTTAAGTTTCTGAAAGGGAAACAGTAACACCCTGGTAGATTTGCTGGTAAATAATAGCAGTAGTCATTGATCTCACTTAGGCAGACCACAGCCGGCACAATGCCGAAGACACTGATTCACAGCTAAGACCCAACCCAGTCTCCTGGGTAGAAGCACATAAATTCCATCCTGTAACCCCAACTTCCAAAGCTGCACTCAAATATGTAAGTATTCTCTGTAGGAATGCCATTAATTTTTAAATTGGTCCTCCTGGTGAAACAAGAACTGTATTAATAGCTTCTCCATAAAAACAACCAAACCACGACTTGCTCACGCACATACCTGTTTTATACTATGTGCAATGAACCACACCATGAAGATTCTTGAACTCACTTGGACCCCAGTCACAAGCACAGATGTGCGAACTATTCCTTAAAAAGAGAAACATGTTATCTCTGTTCCGCAATTCATGTTTTAATTAGTTACAGGAGAAACTAAAACAAAGAACTCACCAACTGCACAGTGGACTACCTGTAAATAAAAATAAGTTAGAGGTTACTGATGTACAGTATGTTACTATCTACACTATAAACATGGCCTTTTGATATTAAGATAAACCTAGGCTTAATTCTGAAGAACAGTTTTTTTTGTCTCCAACTAACAGTCTTTAAAAGAAATACATGTTAGAGCCCTGGCAACCAATACTGTGGTGGGCTCAGTATCTAATCTGTGCAAACACATGAAAGAGATTTATTTTCCTAATTAATTGTATAAATTATGTATTTAGATACTTACAAAGCATTTATTTTTTCAACTAGTAAGTCTCCCTTCCCATTATCTGATTCAAAGAAGAATTTTACAGGACAGTGTGGAGGGAGTCATGTAAGGGATGCTAAAGGCACAGCAATTTTAAAATGTTCCCTATTCATTATAAATTAATAACATAATTATAATTTTGCCAATGACAGCTATGAAGTAACATTTAGCAACTAGAGTGCTTTTCATTATTTTGACAGATTTGAGTAGAATTACTTATTGTGAAAGTTTAATAGCGTAAAAGCCTATATATAGCTGGCCACGTGATTTTAATAGTTGCTTGAGCTACAGATGTTATAGGCAGGCTGAGAAAAAAAGTTAAAATGTAGATAGGCACTCTTTGTTGTGCCTGGGAAAGAATTGTGAGTGCTCAATACACCCAACAGTTTCATTCCATAGATGTAGCATAAACTGAGACCACTAGTGTGTAGTTGGCAAAAGTCGTATTATTTAACGAATACTTTGCACAACTTGCACAGACTCTGTTGTAACGGATTATATGGGGCATGTGAATCCAGTTTGGAAATAAGCAGAAGCAGGAAAGGCACAGAAGAATAATGAGTCTGCTATAAGGAATAAGAGGGAAGCTATCATCTCTGGGATGGGAGATGAGATTATCTACTAAGCTAGAGTGTTGATCTGCTGGCTGGAATGCCTTCAGAGATTTTGCCTTTTGAGATAAAGACTCTCAAATTAAAGCAGTTCCCAGGCAGTATTTGACGTAAAGAAATGTTAGAATTCAGTTTGAAGAAATGTGTCCATTTGTTTCAACTCATCACCTCCTCCCCCCCAAACATTCATTAAATAATATAGTAAAAAGTACTTTAAGTACTAATACAATATTTTGATACTAAATTCAGGCTAATAATGTCTTTTGCCTATGATATGCAGCATCCAGTAAAGCAAACTAATGTTTAAAATTTACCTCAAGCAAAGCAAATGTCTGGAAAAATTTAAGCGTCCTTTGAACGCTTCTGAATAAGCCTCTATGTGTTCCTTTCTGTATATAAAACCGCACCATGGCAATACCTAATACCAGCCACCTACAAAAGAAAGAGAATGGATACATTTCAAATTAGAATTCTAAAAATATCCATCCACTGTAAATAATTTAGTAGAATATTTTCTTCACAGAATATCTTTGCTTCTTCACTTGTCAGTGTTCTTAGGAGACGATTAAAAATATCTTTATACATAAATATTATATAATGTTATGTAAACATTACACTCTTTTATCTCTCTACTTGGAAAAGGATAGAGAGTGACTTGTTTACCTTCAGAGGATTGACTTGAATTGAGTGGGACACCACCCCCTTCCCCCCCTAAACCATGGGTGCATCAGACTTTTCACTACCAGTGACTACCTATTTTTACTGTTAAATCCTCATGCATCTTTTCTGTGAATTACTGTTATTTGAAAACACGCAAGGAACTCGGCACTGAAGACACCGTTTTGGGTCACAGGCTTGTGTAAGTAAAGGACTGGAACCTATGCACATCATTTTTACAGTTTTCATGGCCCTTCAACTCCTAATTTTCAGAGTTAACTAGTGATCTGAATGCTTCTATTTGTGATTGTCCAACTGAATTTACCATTATGATTCAGTTTTCAGAAACGTTGAGAAGTCATGTTTGAAAACCAGTCCTCTCATTGTACATAAAGCCATGGCAAGCGAGCTGTATGGCGACATGAGCGCTGGCAAAGGAAGGACCCAAGTGACAAAGCAGAGGGGTCTGAGAAATACTCAGTGGCTGATCGGGAGCACACATAAACATTCGGAGAAATATTTATATAAGCATTTGGATAAATATTTAACACCTCTCCTGTTTTAATACTCTTCCCTAAGCGTAAGGTGCTGGCTAACGTTGGAAATACTGATCTTCGGTCAGACCCGTTATGCTGTAACAGCAGGAGAGTCGCGTGGATCGTGACAGCTCTCTGTTTGCCTCGGATGGCACATACTTCAGTATCAGCCCCTTAACAACTCTCACACACTGTGCCTACTGCTACGCAGTCACTCGGTGTGGCCCATTCCAGCACTTCATGACGGCATTTCAAACTCACTTAGTTAGTCAGGCTTCCTTACGCATGAGGAATGATTCCCCTACTTGATTGTTTGTACTTTAAGCACAAGAATCCAATCTGCCAGTGCTCAAAAATTTGTGTGTGTCCCCCCCCCCAAGTGTTACTTGGATTTTATACCGGATTTTAAATCCGAGCACATTAATTTGAGGTTGTCTTCCCACCACTGTGGAAAGTACTGGAATACCACTGGTAGTCCTTCACAGTAAAGCTGCCCTGTTTTGTAGTGAAGTGCTTGACAAGAGGAAGGTGACAGTGAGTTTACATCCAGCTGGCAGCACAAATGGTGACAGCAACAGCTCTCTGTCCTAGCCCTGGCCTGAGAAGTCATAATACATCTAATCTAACAAGGCATTTTCTGCACCCCATTCTGTAACAAAAGGGTTGCTGAGAGAAGTAATCTTGGACTATACTCAGAAGCAAATACTGCAAATATTTTTCTTAAATAAATTTTTGTTTGGACACGAATTTTTGGAGATCTATTTACTGTCAGTGGCTTTGACTTTGGATCTCAGGAAAGCCCTTGTACTGAGTATTGCAAATCACCAGAAAATGGAAAACACTTTCCGTAATAAAGGTAGCATTTCCATTTGGGACTTTCAATAAGATTGGGTACTGATCTATCATTTTAGTCCCTTAAACCTTCGTTAGAAAGACAGGTAAGCTGCAGTTTTTTATTAGAATGGTTGTTAACATGAAATTATGTATTAGTTTGTTAAAACTCTAGAAACACTTTGCTATATTGCACTGTCTGGACAAATGGACAGATATACTGTTCTTGTTACTTATTTATTCTGTGTAGTGCCCCTGTTAAGTATTGCTCTATTTCAAATGTTTATTCTTCTCTTAAATTATGTCTGTAAAAGATTATAAGAATTTGTTCCTATCTCTTGTTTCTCTGTTTCCACATAAAATATGCAATTTTGCATGTCTTAATCCCTTTTGAAGTTAATGGAAGACAGGAGAGAAGGAAGCGGGAGATACTGAATCAGCACCTAAGGTCAAAACTAATATGGTTCGATAATCTTCCACAGACATATAAAAGTCAGTGGCAAGAGTCAGCGTTCATTAGCAAATTCACACATTGAGCACGAGGCTGGGAATTCAATGAGGTAACATTAACCTGCCAGCTAGAAAAAAATTACGTTGAGTAAAAGCACTTTTCAAAAGGTGCTGCTGCAATATATAAGCAGGCTGGAATATGTGCTCAAGGTTCACAGCTGCTAGTGAGAAGAAAGCCATTACGATCATATTCCTGGCTTTCTGCATCAGTACTTCAACTCCCGCTTCAACTAGAGCGTAGCAGCTTTGCTCTACGGGGTTCAAACGGCAAAGAGTTCACCCACCGGTAACCAAGGTAAAATTGTGCTTGCAATGAATGTCAGCCTGGAGGTTATGAAATTGTTCTTTCTTAGTTTTAAGCTTGTGGAAATTAATAGTTTGGGGTTTTTTCCCCCCGAGAGTTAGTGAACAGGACAAATTTTCAAGGAGTGAAAATACGTGCTTCAAGCACCAACAACATAAACCTGAGCACTCTTATGATCTGTTATTCAAAATAAATACCCACTGTCCTCAAAGCAAGGCATGGCAGCACCAGCTCAAAGGAGCCCCCGGGGTTACACACAGCCCCTTCCCCCTCCACCCACCCCTGCTCATCACTGAATGCCCGCCGGCGCCGAGGACCGCCCTCG